AACAAATCGTTTATTTAATGTTATTTAGATAGTTAATTCTATTAAACAATGTATGCACAAATAACTTTGGAAGGCAATTACTCAAAATCATGTTTATCTTGACTCTAAGAGTGCTGTAATTTCACTTTTCAATAACTTAATTTTAGGCTTGAAATGTCCAATTTCAATGAATGACCCCTCATTTTAAAGATCACATACTGTACTCAGGTATCTGAAAATACTAATAACTTGAATTTCAATTTTTGCTACAACTTAGCCATTTTGCCACAACGTGCCTCAAATATGGTAAAAATACAATTAAAAATAGAATATTATAGGTGTAGTATTTGCCCAACCTGACGTGAAAATGTACTGAATACTCAGTACATGTGAAAACACTTGCGAAAAAACATTTGCAAGTTGTTCCTGGGTAGGGCTCGAACATACGATCTTTAGATCACTAGTCTGGCATCATACCTCAGACCACCTAGCTTGCGCCTGATGGCCAGGGTTTGAATTTGAGCCCAACTAACCAACTGCAATGTGAGTGGTAATAGTTATTGCGTGATGGAATAGACATTAACTGGATATGCGTCAGGAGAATCAATTATAGGTGTACTTTTTTTACACCTCTACACTAGATTCCCCTGATGCAAGTACAGTTATTGTCAATTCCATCATGACAATAACAATTACCAGAAATAGAATAGGAATTTAATCACTACTACTACAAAAATCGTTAAACTAATTTCAAAGGATATAGGAACATTGATATTTATGCTTCTTTTAATTGGAAAGAAATATCATATAAAATTTCTAACTGAACCTAATAAAATAAAATAATCAATTCTAATGTATTTTTATTCTGAAACAAGTATAAGTAACTCAACATTGTCCTATATATTTTATCAAATCATAGTATAGTACAGTTATAAACAATGACTATTTGATTGTGGTTCTGAAAATCATAATTAATGCAAATGTATTTTCATACTGAAATAAGTTTAATTAGGTCAAATTAAAAAAAAATACTTGTTTAGCATCACATCTCAACAAAATTTTAGGTGAGGAGGGGGCCTTTTTTTTTTCTTTTTTAATCAATCTACAGTATCAGTTATCTATGAATTCGTGTCTTGGATTAGGTGCTCAGTTAGCTGTGCCATGATCCTATATTTTGACTTTTCAACATCATGAACAAAGTAAATCCAAACAAAGAAATTGTTCCAAAAATATTATATTTTCCATTTCATTTAGAAAACTAAAAGTGTTAAAATTAATCATTTTCAGTAGGCTTACAATAAATATTACACATGGTTGGTAAAATCATTGTTTTAATTAACTTAAAATAGGCTATACTTATTTTGATTAGCATTTCCTGGACACATTTTTAAATAATAACACAAAAATTCAGGTGGGGTTGGTGATGCTAAACAAGTACGGTATATTTTTTTTATTTGGCCTTAACTTACCATAGACCGAGGCCTACAGTATGTTTGATTAAATCATGATATACTGTAGTAGGATTATGCATACTGACAAAATTTGTGATTGCGGTCTCTGAAAATCTAAATCCAGCAAATTTTCTCTAGGGAAGTTAGTTATCTTGTTATCATGCTGCCACATGTTGGAATTCTCATGGGAAACGTTGCACTTGTTTCCCATTGGATGTCATCTGGTGTCCATTATACAACTTAACAAGCAGTACTAGAAATGCCAATAATTATGCTATGAAGTTGAGGGCACTAGATATAAGCAATGGACCAAATAATTTTTTAAAATAAGTAACAAATAATATTGATGTAAAGTGTAGGACAAGGGGAAAAGTCACTATACTAAATGAAGTTTCAGATTTTTCATTTTGAATTGACAATACGCTAAGTCTGATATGGTAAAATGGTGGGTGGATGTTGGATCAAGGCTATTAGTACACACTACTAACAAATTCTTATAATATATCGTGAATTTGGATATCTTTATGTTTTATTTTATTTTATTTTATTTTTTTACTATTGCATACAGTAATGTTCATTGCGAATCAGCCTGTTCATGGTATTTAAAATTTGTTACTGTTTCACTGTAATCAATGTATTTGTTCACTGCAATTTAGATTCCTTGATGCTTTAGACAGTAAATAATCAACATACAATATTATAATAATTATAATACAAAAGATGTATGTTACATATTAATGACCTCAGTACTTTTTCATGAATAGTAGATGTGTTTTATAATAATTTTTTCCCTACATAGCGCATTTAGCCTCAATACCCTTATTCTGACATTATCATCACCTTAGTCATTTGATCATATAATAGATATGGAACAGTTCCCTAAGGGATAATATTCCACTAAAAAAAAAACCATATATAGTAGAGTAGGCAGGGACACAAAACTTAATCATAAACTAAAAGCCTGCAATCCTCATTAATCTACAAATAAATGACTATAATATAAAATTAATATAGGGATTATTATTATACAACCCAACAATTCTATGATGATCCTATGTTGGCATTTAGACCTGCTGTACCAGGTACCAACTTATACTTGGTAGAGAGAAAGACAGTGTGATACATTGATTTCTTGGATAAAATCCACTGGGCAGTCAAAAATTGAACTTTTATCTTATAATTGAGAGCTATAGTATTCACAAAGCTAAGCCAATGTTTCTAGGTCCTCTTGTGAGGAGTTAGAAGAAAATTATAATACAAACATTTTGGGATTTAATATTGATGTGTGAATGTCACTCGCTGTAAGGGCAAATATTTTCACCCATAATGCACTCAGGATAATACAATGGATGATGTTAGCCCAACGTATGGCTAGAAAAATTGGCACCATTACAAAGTGATATCAGATTAACCCATATTTGAGTGGAAGTCAAAGATATATATAGGCCTAAATGGTAATAAAAAGTTGATGACTGTCTATTGACATATCAAGGTGAATTTCCTCAATGACAAATTACTTCAATTTGATTTGATGTAACAAAAACAAAGGTAGGAAGGAAGTTTTGAAGTGCATTCCCTGATGCCATGTGTTTATTTTGATGATGATGTCATTCAACAAATCAAAATCAAGAGATTAACCACAAAATAGAATGAAGCTGTATTAGTTAATGTCATACCATGCTATTCATTACACTTTTTTTGTAAGAACACCAAGGCTGAAATTACTTAAAAATAAGAACAAAATAAGAACAAATTGAGGCTGAGGTAAACTGTCAATTTGTGATTTATATTTTTGATAGAAAAACCAACACATCACTTGTCATAAACATTAGCAGTAGTAGGTTTGATACTGCTGTAAAATCATAATGTTCAATCTTTGAAAATGGGAATTAAATTAAGAACAAAATAAGAACATTTGAGCCGAAAATTGGCAACAAATATTAACACTGAGCCTGGGCAAAACCTTATGGTTCTTATAAAAAAAAAGTGTATGATACTAATGCAGTGCTATGCAATGCCATGCAGGACTATGCAATGCCATGCTATGTTGTGCGATACTATGCTATGGTATATGATACCATGCTGTATAGTACCATCCTATTCCATGCTATGCGATGCCATGCAATAATACTATGATATACCATGACTATATTCTATTATTCATTATTTATTGATTTATATTTCTAGGGAATCCTCCGGCAGTTAGATGTAAAACTTAGTGGTTCAGATGCCTTGAATGCCAGATTTGGTTCAGTAATTGAAAACATTGGTGATATCAATCAAGATCGATATGATGGTAAACAAATAATAATAAAAATAATACTAATAATAAAAATAATATTTATTTTTATAGAGCATTTTCAGATTTACATTTGTTCAATGTGCTTTACATAAAAGATGATAAAATACAATATTGAAAATATAGCTATTAAAAATTTAGCTTGTAGCAAGTAGTAATTCCCTTGTAACAGGGAATTGTTTACTATTGAAATTCACTACAGTAAACAACTCCATGCTTATAGTAAATACCTTACCCTACTGTAACTTGAAGCAAGAAGTGTGCAACAAGCTTGCAACATGTAGCTAGAATGCAAGTAGCTTGATGCAAAATGTTTGAAGCCAGGAGCTCGACAAATACTGTACCAAGTAGCTTGTAGCAAACAACTTTTAAAATATCATGAAGATTGTATAAGTAGTAGATTTGTTTTTATAAAAACAATACAAGAAAGCAATATAACCAATCTTTCCTGCATGTTGTTACAGTAAATTACATTATGACAATATTGAAATAATGCCAAATAATTGATCATAAGACAGAACCAATTATTTCTCAAATATAACTTTTCAATTTGCACTTCAATTTCTTATGTTCTATGCTAGGCCTGTCCAGTGCTCTCTCCCTATCTCAAAAGTATGTAATTTTAAATTTCCTGCATTGATCAATATTTCCTTTGATGTTTTATTTTTAACTACAGTAAGGACACTGAATGTATAAATAACTTTTGAATATACATTTTACAACTAGCTGAGTGATTAGATTTTATACTGTATCTAATAATTAGATTGAGATGCATGATATTAAGGGAACGGAAATTCTGAAATGGCATTAAAAAGGGAATCCGGGCCAAATACTGTTACTGACATTACGTTGATGCGAATGATAAACATGAGAATATATTTTGAGGAGAAAATTAAGTTTAAAAAAAATCAGTTGGAGAGAGAAAGTTTTAAAGGAGAACGGGAAGGAGTAGGAAGAGAAGATATCGTATGGAGGAGGGAAAGCTTTAGTGGCATGGAAAAATCCAGTGAGAGGAAAATGTCCAGTGAAGAGGGAAAAATCCATTGGGATAGATAAATATTCAATGGGACAGGAAAAGTACCTTTACTACAAAGGGAAAAATATCTATCAATGTACAGTACAGTCAAGCAGAGCAGCTTGGGGAGAATGATCTAGTGGAATGGGAAGATCAAATGGGATGGGAAGGGCAACTGGGATAGGAAGTCAAATGGGATGATAAGGTCCAATGGGATAGGAAGGTCAAATGGGATGAGAAGGTCAACTGGGATAAGAAGGTAAAATGGGAATAGAAGGTCAAATGGGATAGAAAGATCAAATGGGATGGAAAAATCCCATGAAAGGATATGATCCAGTGGGAAGGGAAAGTTTAGTATGGGAACGGATCTATAGGAAAGGGAAGATCGTTGGGAAGACGATGATCCAAAAGGAGAGGGAACAATCCAGCTAGTGGGAGTGGAGAAGATCATGTGAAAGAGGGGATGAAATGGGAGGAATTCCCACACCCTTCACAGCTTTCCAAATTCTGTCATTTTTTTGATTAAAATAATTTTAAAGTGAATTATTTCTTTCTGTATTTTTGCATAGATGTTGCGATTGGAGCACCATACGAGGATGAGAATAGGGGTGCGGTGTACATTTATCAGACATCATATTCTGGAATTAGAACTCAATACTCACAGGTACACTGGTTTTCAATCAAATTTATTATTGTTTTTTAATGTTCAGACTTCGAAATTTGGAGCACAGCTTATCATTTGGCTGTTTAATAATAATAATAATAATAATAATAATAATAATAATATGATTAAGGCGCTTCACAATGTCTACAGCCACCTAATATCTAAAAGTTTTACAAAAATAGAATTATCCTAATGTTTACAAATAATTAAAAAGAAACAAAAGGTAATTGAAATTATATATATATGATATAAAAATACAAGAATAATTTGCAAAGCCTTATTAAAATATGAATTATTTTAATGTTACAATTGATACAGCATTATTTTACAAGTATTATTATTATTTACAACTTGAAAAAAAGCAAGATTATAATTATTATTATTATACAATATTATAGAAATGTGCAGAATAATTTATTGTGGAATAAATCAGATATGTGTCAATTTTAGTTTGTAGAATAGATTTTGTAGAGTAAATAAGTAGAGGACATAATGATTAAATATGAAATAGAGTGTTTATCTATAGAATTTTGACCTATTTGACCCTCCATACATTGCAGAGAATTTCAGGGAGGCAAGTTGACCCTTTTGTGAAATCATTTGGAAGCTCCATCTCAGGCAAGGTTGATGTTGATGGTAATATTTATCCCGACATAGCTATAGGCGCCTTTCTACAAAATAGAGTGTTTGTTTTGAGGTAAGAGAAAAGATGCATTTTGGTGTAAATTTATTAGGCTATCATATACAAAGTTGGTGGGATTATTAAGTATAATTCAAAGAAATACTGTCTCTGGGAAAATCTAGTAGAATTCCCCAAAGTAATCATTTAAAGTATTTAAATGATGAGAGAAGTTTTCACCTTCCTATGGCTACGGTCACACTAGAGTCTCAAGCCTGGCTTGACTCACCGCAGGTGAGATTTCAAGCCACTAGGCTCAAAATTCTGGGTCGGTCACACTTTACCTGAATTTAGTTGGATTGACCTCCAAATTAGGAAAGTCGAAACAGGAAGTTAGAGTGCCGCTACAATCGAAATACCGGCCCCGCGCACGAATCTAGATGATCTAGGCCTAGGCTGGGATGTAATGGCGATGCTAGTTTCCGGGTTGATAAGTGCATTTATAAATGACAACTGATGATTTCCGCGGGTTTTTTATTCAAGAACTTCTAAACGCAACGGCTTCATCGACTGTGATTGGTCAACAGCCGACGAGGAAATGTCAATCCCGGTCACGCCAGGGTTAATCCAGGGTCAATCTGCGTACTGAACCAGGATCGAGATAGGTAGATTGAGATCGAGGTGACGCCAGGCGCAAGTTGATCCTGGTACGTTCACATTACGAAAATCTCACCCGCGGTGAATCAAGCCAGGCTTGAGACTCTAGTGTGACTGTAGCCTATGACATTTTTCTATTACAGTAACTTTAAATCTATCTTTATTTTACAATTTTTCTTTATTTAGGAAAGAAATGTAAACAAATATTCTTAAATTTACCCCCTTGCAGAACACGGCCTATTGTACATATGGAATCCACTATGACGATCACTCCGAACCCCATCAACAAAAACAACTCCAACTGCCTGGTTGCAGGCAAGACTGCGGTTTGTTTGAATTTACAAGCATGTCTACGTTACACCGGTATAGCAGTTCCACCATCTCTGAGTAAGTTTATTCAGTAACAGTTCCAGGGGGAGTGGAGTTAGGCACAGACGACAATGACGAGGATGACGGCAACAATGGCAATACAATGATGATAATACATAATAATCAAACACTTATTAACAATTACATTAGCTGACTTTAATGTCATTTCTTTTGCAGGTCTGAACTATACTTTGACTGTAGAAAAGAACAAAGTACTTCAAAACCGACCAGCACGTGTAGTTTTTCTTAGTACAACAAGGACATCTGTCTCAAGTACAGAACGGTTAGAAGTAGGGCAGCAGCACTGCTATAAGTACCAGTTTCAAGTTAAAGTAGGCATTGATTGTGGTTTGATTAGAGAATTTAGGATTTACGATATTACAATAGAAGTTGCACATGTGTTAATGTGGTCATTTTAAAAGGGGCTCATAGTCATCCTCTTACTTATGTCCTGATCTGTCTAATCATGTCAGTGGTGCACATTGCCTATGCATATCATTGAAGAGCCACCTTTTGGTTGTAGAATAAACGTTAGAATTTTAATGGTTTAGTTATTATTATTATTTATAAAAATGTTGGCATTTATTTCATATCACAGTCACCAGATACAGTAGTAATCATAAACAATGGCAACTTATTTCTTCTCCGCTCCACCATTTAACCTGGTTAATAATAATAATAATAATAATAATAATAATAATAATGCGCCGGTATCCTTAGTGCACCCCTCCACAAGAAAGTTGAAATATGAAATAAAAAAATTTAATGACACCAGGTTCAGTTTAATGAACCAGAAAAACAGTTATATTACATGTGCCGTAGTTGGGTGAGCATCACTTTCTCTATGTGGCCATGTATGCACAGATACCCCCTACCCAGGTACCCATTTATACTCTTGGGTAAAATTTTAAAAATCTTGTTCAAGGATAAGCAAATGAGCAATGTATGATTTGAACCCTGATTTTATGGTTCAGTACCTAAATCACAACCTCCGCACCGCTAATTTTTTTTACAGTTGTAAATAAAGGTTGAAATTGAAGAAAAAACTTATTGTCTTCCCACAGAATGAAGTGACAGATTTTCTCAGTCCCATTCCATTCCATTTCACCTATGACCTGATCGTTCCAGAGCCACCGATGATCAACTGTTTGGGAGGACCATGTCCTATTCTTGACATGCTTGGTTCAAGGGATGAATACCAACAGGTAAGTACCTTTGAATCTTACCTTCGCTTCATTTATTCATTCATTTATTAGACAGTAGCGAGAAAGTTGAGGGATTTTAAACCTACATATGTTGGTCCTTGATTATGCGTCCTTATGTATTTTAGTGTAATTCCCTCGTCCTTCAGATAGGATGTTAAGCCATTTGTCATATACACTTTTACTTTTTAAACAAATGAACTCTGTACACAATGAAAAAAATGAGTAGTGGATTGTCTCATATCGCTTTTAAAAATAATCCATTATATAACTGATCCTAAATTTATTTTTTGTGTTTTACCTGAATATTAACCTTTTGAACCTGACTGGCCACTTAAGAGACCGAAGATGAAATTAATACCACTGGCAGCTTAATTGGCTGTCACTTTGACGATATGACTTTCAGATAATAAAAAGCAATAAGATTGTTAAACTACTGGGAATTCCCTATGGACAAGTCATACAGTTTCAGTTTGAACTTCGTGTTTTACTAACATTGTACAAGCTAGGAAAATATCAGCTCCGAAGAATGACCTGTTAGGAAGCACTTAGGAAGAATATTGGATAATGATGAGGTGAAATTAGGTAATGATAGGTATAATTATAGTGTGTCATTAGCCTTTGTGTATTTCTCCCTTCATTGGTTGTCTTCAGGGTCAAGATCCTTCTTGAACCCTTCCTGGCAAAGCTCCAACTAACTTGAATATCTGCCAGTGTGATCCCTACTGTTATGGTTGCTGTTGTGCTAGATTTTTAATTTTGAAGTACAGTAATATTTATTAGGTGCTATTGTATGCATATTACAAATTGTGTTGTTATTACTATTAGTATGAACTAATGTACAGTATTGTTTGTTTGTGTGTTCTTATTTGATTCTTTTTTTTTTTTTTTTATCTCTCTCCCAGTAACATTTATTTCGTAAAGGTCATAAGAAAACATACATATGAAAAATTATTATATTCTTAAAATAACAAAATTTGATTATATCAGACTTTAGACCATCACAGGGATTAAAACTAGAAGTAGAACTTGTCTCATATTGACCCCTAAAGTAAAAAAAAAAAATATATATATAAATTTTTAAAAAAATATAAAAAGTAAAAATATAAATTTTAAAAAAATATAAAAAGTAAAAATATATAATAAATAAATAAATAAATAATGGAGAAAAATAATTTGTGTTAGCACAAATCAATCAGAAGACCTGTACTTAGATAAATTTATTGTTTTCATATGACTTTTGAATGCTTTCAGGGATTTACAATTTATAATAATATCTTTATCTAGGTTATTCCATATGGTGGGACCTGAAAATTTAATAAAAAAATTGACTCTAAGTAAGTTTAACAAAAGGGACTTGTAATATATTTGGATTACTAATACTGTAAGAATGAGATATTACACGGTTAGAGAAAAGCAATGCGATTGATACAGGTAACTAAATTATTCACGTATTGAAACATAAAATAAGTAATCTGGAGTTTATGAAGGTCACTAATTTTTAAGATGTTAAGTTTTTTAAATAGAGGTTCAGATGCAGTTTTAAATGGTGAAGATGTAATTAACCGAACAACCCATTTTTGTAATATAAGAATTCTTTGTAAATTCGAGGAATAGTCTGCTGCCCAAATGATGTTGCATTATAATAAATGGGGCAAAATAAACAAATTGTATAAAGAAACTAAAATACTTAGAGGAAAGAAATGTTTCAGTTTGCTTATTATACCAATGTATTTTGAGATTTTATTTGCTACACTCTGTTGATGGCTAGACCAATTTAAGTTTTCATGAACTACTGTAAAACACCAAGAAATGATACTTCACTTTTTCTATCAAGCCGTTTGCCATTTAGAAAAACATCACATATTTTGTGCTTAAGTTTATGACTAACAACACGGCTGTGAAATTAGTTGTGTTAATTAAAAATTTATTTGTAACCAATTGCTAATCTTGCTTAATTCAGAATTAAATGTGTTAAACAATAAATCAAAGTTATTATTAGAATAAAATACGGTAGTATCATCGGCAAAGGAAACAGTGTGTAAAATATCACTAGCCAATGGTAAGTCATTAACGTAAATAAGAAATAATAAGGGTCCTAAGACGGACCCCTGTGGTACACCACACAAAATACTTATGTCGACTTACATACCAATTTGAACATATTGCTTTCTATTATTAAGATAACTTGTAAACCAGTCTAATGAGACCCCAATGCCATAACGAAAAAGTTTAGAAATTAGAATATCATGGTTGACAAGATCAAAAGCTTTTGACAAATCAAGGAAAGTACTTAATAAAAATTCATTATTTTCAAACACATTATTAACAGAATTCGTGAGTTCTAAAATGGCATGTGTGGTGGTATGATGTTTGTGAAAACCATATTGATGGTTATTAAGTAAATGATTTTCAATAAAATAATTATAAAGACCAGTATGCAATAATTTCTCAGTTTTTTTTTGCAAATCATTCATAGAAACAAATAGTACTGCTGTTTGTTTAAACAAACTTTATGTCTAGTTTTCGCTTTTTGTATGAAGGTCTGGGTTGAAAAGCCTTGTCTTTTCTCGACTAATTAAAAAGTGGCATGTATTATTTTTTTTATCTCTGTTGAGAAAAAAGTTTTATCACTTCTACTACTACTACTACTACTGCTGCACTACTTCGACTATTTTTAAGTTGTACTGTACATGAACTTTATTTTATAATCCACAGGTGCGGTTTGCTCACAACTGTGGTAATGACCAGGTGTGCAAGACTGACCTAAGACTTCAAGGTGACATTCAAATTCCAGGGTAGGCTCCTATTTTCAATAAATAATTGTATACAAATAAATTAATGTAGAATATTTATGTGTCTATCCTTCTGGGAATTGTTTTGCTATTCCAAGGTGTTTGTAATTTAGTATTAATAGAGCAGGAGCCCAGTGGTTTTAACATAGCTGGAAAGTTAACCAATGTTTGTATGTATAGTAATGGTCTATGTGCCGGTCTATGTAGGACATGTTCAAAATGGGCATCTGCTGGTCCCATTATGGTGGGTGTGGTCAGGAGGGCATAAAAAAGGGTACCATAGTGCAATTTTCTTTAAAAAACCTCTTAGATTTTGAGTCTAATCAATCATTAAATCTTCCCTGACTTTTTCAGGTATATCTAGAACTTACAATACTAATAGTTGGCGTAGTCAGGTTATTTTTTTTAAAGATCTCAGTTGGTTGGTTGCATCCAAACCTAACGTGCAAATGTTCATCTTCTATGTAATGCGTGATCGTCCCTTAAATGGTGCTAGTGGACAAGGCCTGGTGTTTTATGTTTATATATTTACTTATAATGAGAAAATGATTTATCAAATGACTCTTTTATATTATTATTTGTTTTTAATTTCATTTTTTCACACGGAAAATTCCATTGGCTTGACGGGCCAAATTTGGCCCGACAGCCGCTTTTTAAGAACCAGGACTCTAGATGAAGAAATTAAAAATTTGTGTCAGAACCTGTAGCGTTATTATAAACACAAAGTTTTTTTAGACATTTGATGCAATGTTTTATTACTCTGCGTTCTACCATCTACCTTTATTATCATTAGGGTAGATATTTTAAATAGTTTTGTTTTTCACTTTATTGTGTAAATAGGCGGGCGGTACCACTGAATAGCTTACATTGGTTGATTCGAGTCATGTGTGTTAAAACTGAGAATCAAATGGCATAAAATCTGTGCATGAAGGTTTTTGGAAGCACACAAACATCAAAGTTAGGTTTTGGCCCTCTGTCTTTAAATCAAAAATTCACTTTGGCCCTCCAACTGATTTTTATGCCCATCCCTACTCTAAATAATAAGAGTGGATTTTAAGGATGGAAGTGTGGGTTAATAAGGGTGGGTGGAGAGCAATGAAACTAGGTTTAGACTGGATGGAAAACTTGAAGGCTGGGTGTCTCCACCCACTTCCCCCTCCCCCATAACTACATCCCCGAACTTGCAAAATGTATCATTCAGTACTATATAATCTTTTATTATTTTTAGTAGTCAATATTAGAACAGTTAAACATCTAACAATGAGATTCTATACAGGATTGAAAATTTATAAATGTCGAATATGCAATACGAGTAGGCCTACAGTAGATTTCCCTTATAAAATTAAATTTTGTAACGGTACTGGGTTTAGTCTGACAGGAGTTCGTGCTTCAAACAGGTCATTCCATTTGTAGAAGTCTTTTGATGAAGAAAGTGTACCTTTTTAGGAAGGGCTGCCTAGACTAAAACTCACTCGGACTATAAGAAATTGATTATAAGCTTGAATTGTTAATCTTAATACTACAGTATATTCACGTTTAAGTTTATTTACAAGTGGAATGATATAAAATTCAAATTCAATGTTGTAAATATAAAGTTTGCCTAATTTGCTTTCCAAGAGTGAAAAACTCATTTATTACAGGAATGTTAAACTTGCCTTATTACCTCACTTTGTAGTACTTTAGATAAATTTTAAATTGGTGCTATATAAATGTTTGTTATATACAATTATTAGTATTATCAGATAATTTCATTAAAGACCAAAGTTTGTGATGATTTACCATCCATACCCGTGCACAGTTCTTGAATATATCGTAGAACCATTCTAGGTGTCTTAACATTAATGAAGACATTTTTTTTTAGTTATAATGTCCATTAAAATATTGTAAAGAAAAATTTTACACTAACGCGAATCTACAAAATATTGGACGAGAACTTGTTCTCACAGCCAGGTCTCACAGCCTCGTGAAAGGTGGCCTTTCGCGAGTTATTATAAAATGTAATGTTAGTACTATATCATTAATTAAAGGCCCTGCATTTAATGTACATGAAAAAGAAAGGAAGAAGGTACAAAGAAGAATAACGGCTTTGAATTTTACCAAAAAAAGTATATAAATAATAATGAAGATTAGTAGTAAGGTGTAGATTTTCAATGAGAGAATGAACTATTCTAACGAATTGAGAGAAGTGCTGTAAACTGCTTGTTTATCAAGGATTTGTGATTTTGTTGCAAGACATTCTGATTTGCATGGTCTGTCAAATTACATTATAAGGGTTGGTGAATAGGTGTTTATTAAATAAATACATGTTATTATTAACATAAAATTCAGAAAATCATTTAAAAGTTCAGTATAATTTGTCAATATATTGAGAAATTTCACTTAAATGTAGATGGTTTATATCCTGAATTGTTTTCAAGTCTAAACAAAGTATGTGTGCAATATTATTTTATCATTTGATAAATTATTCTTGCAGTCAAGAGTTAGAAAATAATAAGTACTAATTTGGGTTTCTGAATAATGGCAATCTGTATTACTAATTACTTGTACACCAGTAAAACAAACCACCCAGAAATTAAAATTCATTCCTGTAATTTTAGTAGATCAAAGCCAAACATATATAGCATGAAATTATACAAATTTTCCTAACTCTAAAACTAAAAACAACAGAAACTTTGGTGTTAACAAGTGTTTGAAGCCTCCAAAACAAGTTTTTATACTTACAAGTAATTCTTTAAAAAGATTAACTTAATAGTTATAGCTAGATATAGTTTTATAACATTCTCCACAACTCAGCTTATAATTCTAATGCAGATTCAGGATGATACACATAGTCTAGATGTCAAAAAATGGTATTTAAGGTTGTTTCGGAGGCTTCAAGGTATTTCGGAGGCTTCAAGTCTTAGCAAAAAGTACATATTGTCTCCATTTTCCAAATCACACGGCATATTTCTACTATTATATAGCCATGTGACTTGTAGGTCTACAGTACTTGCTACATTTTGATAAATGGAATTGGTAATTTACTTTATTCATATTTGCACAGGGTGGTTGAAAAGTTTGTTTCGGAGACTTCAAAACAGAATTCCTTTGAGGTCCTGGGATCATTTAAGTTTTGTCATCAATTTTAAGTTCGGTTATCAATCGTTACATCCAAAATGGAATTAAGGAATATAAAGCAATTATTACAAATAGGTCAAACTGCAAAATTTGTTAACAATTGTTAACAGAAAATGAAGCCTCCGAAACAAGAAATACCAATGTTCCGTTCTCAAAAATATAGGGACAGTGACAATTTCAACTATAAAGCAATTGACTTACTCAAAATTCAAAGTTACACCCTTTATTGTGCAAGGTCCCCGACCGGTGGGTGGGGGGGTGATGCCCCGATGAGGGATCAGATTTCCCAGACGAAAGCAAAGTGGGCATGGTCGAGCTTCGATTAAAAGGTTCTGAAAGTGGTCCTGGGGCGAAGCCCCCGAAGATCACACTAAACAAGTACACCAAGTTTCATCAAAATCAAAAAATATGTGGTTAAAATTTTCAGATTTTTTGGGTGATTTGACATGGAATGACCCCAAACTGCAAAATTTGTTAACAATTGTTAACAGAAAATGAAGCCTCCGAAACAAGAAATACCAATGTTCCGTTCTCAAAAATATAGGGACAGTGACAATTTCAACTATAAAGCAATTGACTTACTCAAAATTCAAAGTTACACCCTTTATTGTGCAAGGTCCCCGACCGGTGGGTGGGGGGGTGATGCCCCGATGAGGGATCAGATTTCCCAGACGAAAGCAAAGTGGGCATGGTCGAGCTTCGATTAAAAGGTTCTGAAAGTGGTCCTGGGGCGAAGCCCCCGAAAATCTTGACAATTTAGGGGTTTCAAAGGCTTATTTAATCGATTTTAGAGTCTATTAATATGTAGAAAATACATATAAATTTTTTTTTCTCCCCGACGGCTTTTTTCTCCCCGACGGGGGGGAGAGGGGGCAGCTCTTCATGACAGGGGGCCCTGGCAGGGGCCCGCCCCCTGGCGCCACCCCTGGTATAACCTACAACCAAAAATGTCTGGCAGAGGCCATTCATGATACCTGGGACAATGCCATTTTACATTTTACAGTAACTTTTATCAGGTTAACTCACTAGATAATGTAGATCAATTTTTTTGGGGTGGGGGGTAAGGAATAAGGGGGTGTCTGGCCGATACACCACACCACCAAACTGGTAGTGGCCATTCATGATACCTGGTTCTATGCCATTTTTTTAGCAATATGTTTGATCAAGTTAACTCACAAGCTATTCTATGTTAATTTTTTTTTTTTTGGGAGGGGAAAGGTACAGTATAAGGGGGTGTCTGGCAGGTACACCTCACCATTAAAAATGTCTGCAGTGGCCACTCATGATACCTGGTACAATGCCGAACATTTTCCAGTAGGTTTTATCGGGTTAACTCACAAGTTGATCTAGGTCAATTTTTGGGGCGGGGTATAAGGGGGTGTCTGGCGGGTACACCCCACCACTAAAAATGTCTGGCGGTGGCCATTCCTGATGCCTGGTACTATGCCAAACATTTTCCAGTAGGTTTTATCGGGTTAATTCAGAAGCTGATCTAGCTTAATTTGGGGGTACCGGATTTTTGCATCTGTCAGCCACCCCCCACCATTGGAAATGTTTGGAATTGACCATTCATGATACCTTGAACTATGCCGAATATATTCTGATAGGTTTCATTTGGTTAATTCTAGCTCAATTTTTGGTACTTTTTTTTATGCCCCTCCTGACCACACCCACCACAATGGGATCGGCAGATGCCCATTTTCCTACATAGACAGGCACATAGACAATTACTATACACACAAAAATTGGTTAACTTTCCAGCTATGCTGACAACCCTGGGCTCCTGTTACTTTCTCTATGGAGCTAATCAATTAATTCAATAGTGCTTGCTTTGCTATTTAGTCATTATTCAGTGACATTAAGTTCCCAATTGCCAACTAACAGACATACAAATTATAGTATTCCTTACAGTGTTCTCTACACAAAACCTTTTTTTTTTTATTGTAAATCATTTTAAGGCCAGTAAAACATCTATAAGTCAGTGAAAAATAAATGTTTCTATCTGTTTCTCACGGGAAGCTTACTTACATTATATTGCTTTCAATGTTTCAGTGAGGATTTCTTTCCAGATTAATACAGTATAATAACTAAACAAAGGTTTACTATTATGTTTGATAATTGTGACTGGCTCTGGCAAAACCTGCCGTTTGTTGCAATTTGTAATTTTCTACAAGCACTCAATTTGAGAATTACAATTTTGAACATTTTCAGGTTTTTGCATTTTATAAAAGAGGAGATATATTAAAAAACATTTCTGCAAATGTCAGTCACTAAATCTAACTGAAATGTGTATGTAAATACAAATCTTAAAAGTTCGACTATTGATTTTGGAATCTTTCGAAGCTGTTTTCTCAAAACCTACATGGCTGATATCCAATAAATTAAATATTTATAACTTCGCTATTTACTCAACCAATTTCTATCAAATAAACACTGTTTGAAAGAAGAATACATGCAGAATCTAAAAACACCAACAACTCAATTTTGAATTCTTCCTATAAACGGCTGTTTTTTGCCAAAGCCGGTGACAATTGTTTAATATATTTTTTTTCATTCTTTTGATGCTTTTATTTAAATGTTGAGCGTAGGAAATGAAACAGATGGTTTCAAAAGCTTATGTCTTATAAATTTGGCAATTTTTGTACCACATCATATTTGTGTGTCATTAAACCCGATTGTATTTTTTTTTCAGAGGTTCAAGCTACCTTCCTCTAGGATTGCAGCCCCACATATATGCTTCAATTCGTGTGGTAAACATGGGAGAAGAGGCCCACCAGGCAAAAGTGATCATTGCCTTCCCACAAAATGTGGTCTTCATCAAATCCGAAAATGCTAAAGTGAGTCTGCAAACTCAGAGAGGAATTCAAACCAGTCCCACTCCCCCCAAATTTTTAAAAGTTCTTTACAAATGGAGAAAGAAATGTTTCAGAGTGTAATTTTTAGCCACCTAGAGGTGCCATAGACATACAATTCTGTATCTTAGCAACAACCATGGTAGGTTGAGTTAGTCTGGACCCACCATCTGTGAAATTAACTCCCCAGGCTCCCTCTATTTCGAATGCTATATCCACCACTCAAACTATACCATGTTGTGACACACTATATATTTTATGTTTCAATGCCATATCAGCTCTTTTAATTGTCTGCCAAACAATAATTTCAAACGTAGCACTAAAATGGTATGATAACTCATGACAGGATAATTATGTTTTTGTTTAATATTGATTACACCTTTGGGCCCGTTTATATTACACTCTGAACACGGATTGACGAACACGGCTTCTCTGATGTGTGTAGTATAAACGGTCTGGATTACGTGTGATTACAATACCATCTGGACAAAAGGCTACTTGGCGAACTCGCCAAAATTGCCGTGACTTGTAGCCTCCAGGCATAAGTTTGACCTCTCTTGAAACAGTGGGTGGTAATTCAATAGCTTTCTTGCTGTTGACAGGCGCTAACAAGATGGGATGGGCTTTTATAATAGGCCTACAACCAGAATGATATAAGAAAATAATTATTGTTGATAAGGCCGTTACTAAGCAATAATTTTATATCTTAATTTACTGCTGAGAAGGCATAATATATACCTTTTACGAAAAGAGTCTTTTCCGAGGCTTTTCGCGAGCTACTTCACTTCCTGTCTAATCCGTGTTCAGATTACATGTATGAACGTAAACCTAACACAAATCGGCCGCGGGCAATGAAATACGTTACGTAACGGCAGATCCGTGTTTCTAGCAAGTGTGTAATATAAACACGACCTTTGAGGGAATATATCTCAAATAGCATTTTTATGTGCTATTCAGTAATTAATAAAATCAAGCATTTCTCTCACAGACACCAATATTAGCTCTGTGTGAGCCAGAGGTGAAACCAAACTCTACATTAACTACAGTGATATGTGATATTGGCAATCCTTTGCCAGCCAAGGTGGAGGTAAGTAGATTTATGCACCAAAATTTAGAAATTCATTATGTTCATTATGTCTTGATACATTATTTGTAGATTTAAATTTTGCCATTACGTGCAAGACTAGAAAAGTTCTTTCCCACTTGAGAATATTTTTAAATGCCCAGTGGCATATATGGAAGCCGCGTGGAGCCCACGCCCCCAACCCCAAACAAAAATGGCCACTCCCCCCAGTTCACCTTCTCATTTAAAATGTTCGAAGCAAAACAATATCATGCTCAAGTAGTAAAAAATCACCTTATTTTGCGAGCTAGTGTCCATCACTTAATCATCGAGGCCCCACACCTCACCTTTGCACGCCCCCCCCCCCATCATCTCCCCCATTTAAAGACTGCTAGATATGCCACTGTGCTTCATCATCATTTTAGTACTCAACATGAAACACAAAGAGAGCAGTGCTGGATTTGAACCAGGTACCTAAGGCTCTCCATGGTTCAGTGCACATACAGTCGTTACTACCAGATTTAGCTGGTTGAATTATGCTTCCCTCCTAATAATAATTTACTACAACAATGTTGAATCTTCCACTATAGGCTGCCTTCAAGTTGAAACTGGATGTTAGTGCAGTAACGGGAGACCAACAAGGGTTCTCTGTTGCCATGCTAGCAAACTCATCTAGTTTTGAAACAAACATCACCAGAAGAGACAACGCTGTGACACGATATGTGCGGGTCAGAGTTGAAGCTGATGTCACTGTGAAGGGGTAAGTACAAATGAAAATGGAATTGTTGATGATATGTTAATGTTATTTTTCTTTTATCTACACAATATAAAAGAATTGAGACAGTTAAGAATAAGTACCAAATAATTAAACTCAATAGGTAAACTCATTTTCTTTTACACATTCCTTTGCATTAGTATTATTCTCTTCTGGATAAAATAATTGTAAGAAAACAAACTTTAATATATATTAGTTGAAAGTGGTAGATAATAAGAGCAGAGCCACAATATTTATGTATTTCATTCATCAGTTGATGTATAATTATTGAAATATTTGCTGTTGTGGTTTTCGGTCTAATTTTAATTTCAATTTAATTTTATTTTAAACTTTAACACTAGATAAGTAAAAAAATGATCATAATATGGAACATACATTCAGCTTCCTGGAAAGATTTATTCCGTAGTGTGGCAGCCAAAAATGAGTACATAAAATTAGAAACATATTAGCTTGTACACCTTAGTAGAGTCTATAGATATTTCTATTTTCGTACATTCGAAATGTGCACTTTACCTAACATATAAATACTTATAATTCTATAAGTAAAGGTATTCTTGAATTGTTTTATGGTTTTATTTTCAGAGTTGCTCATCCTGAGCAGGTAGAATTTGGTCTTGATGCAACTGACGTGGACAGTATCTTGGAGGACTCGTTGGATCATGTCCTTAATGTTTCACTTGAAAGGCAAAAGAACAATTTGTTTATGGCTCCCTTGGCTGATGAAGAAAAAACCATCGGTCCAAGTTTTACACATGTGTATCATGTAAGTAAACCTGTATTGTAGAATTTCTTTTTATTGCTATCTTTGGATGGTATTTTGCTGATCACAATGTCTATACACTAGCACCGATAGTATGGGCCCCACTGTCAGGACACAAAGTAAATGCGTTTTTCTCAAGATATAATTTCTGTTATTATATCTGTAATTATTTAGATTAAACATCTAAATAAATAAAAGCCATAACATTTATTTAAAGATTTGTCAATTGATTAGGAAAACTTGCTAAATTTTGGCAATATATCTTGTTGATAATTGTTTTTTATTTGTTTTAATTTATTACCATCTTATGTTTATTGATGTTGCTCTTTTGCATTTCTTTTAGGCAAGAAACATGGGTCCAAGCAAAATACCATATCCTTCGACAGTCAACATTACAATTCCTTGGAGAACAAAGGAAGGAGATTGGCTGATATACATTTCACGAGTAGAGGTATTTATTGTCATTGTTATAGTTTTTTTGGGAATTTGCAATGCACTATATATATATTCCAAATACTCCAAATTAGTATTTTTACAGTACTGTATTGGTTATTGTTGTTGTTATACTTCTAATACATTTAATCAAAGTTTGGGGGGCCACGGTTTGACTTGATGTACTATTTATTAAATAAATGAATGAATGAATGAATGAATGTTTATTTTTTATTTCTATTTGTTTATTTTTAATTATTTTTTACTAATATTTGTTAGTACTATTATTTATTTATAAATAAATGTAAATAAATAAAAAAATAAAAAATAAATAAATTTTTATTTATTTATTTTTTATTTCTATTTTTTATTTATTTTTTACTATTATTTGTTAGTACTATTAGTACTTGACAAAGTAGCCTGAAGAGTCCACATGTTTTGAAGTCCATTTTTTATGACATTAATTACTCTTTAGGCACTATATTTTCCAATCGGAACACTTTACACTATTCGTTTAATAATGCTGAAAAATATCTTTCACTGCAAATATATGCATGTGCTACTCTATATAAAGTCATATTTATAGAGAGGAGTTGTTTTTGGAAAACAAGGAATTTCTGTCCATTCATAGGAATTGAACCTAGTACCCTGAGACTGGAATCATTGTAACCACTTCAGCTGCACCCCTATTGTTATTACTCCTTTAAAACTGCTAGGGCTAAAGTGTGGAACAATTTACCTTTTTCTATTAAAAATCTTGCATAAACAGTTTTAAATCACAATATAAAAAAATTCCTTCAATGATTGATGAATTTTTTTTCAAATTGTATAGGCCTTTTTTGGTTTTCTGCTGTTATGATTGTCTTTCTCTTTTTCTTATATTTGATTGATGGTAATTCTTCTTTTTTCCGATGATATATTTTTCTCATTTTAGTTTTTTAATTGGTCTAATACAGGACCATTTGAAAACCAGTTCATTCTGAAATGTTATCCTGTATAAAGATGTTTTAAATTTTAAAAAAATAAAATTATTACTCCTGTTATATATATTCTCTATAATATTTTGATTATATCTGCTTGATAACTTTGTCCAGTTGTTCAGTGGTGCTATATGAGTACAGTACTCAACTACTCAACTCTAGCTATTTATATTGACATTACTATTTATAAGTATTACTGGAATTATTATCGAATTGGAATAATGTGTTTTTGCAGGTAGAAGGTATCGGAGAATGTGATTATGATTCAGTCTTTAAAGCTCAACATCATCAAATCAGAGAACAGTATCAGAATGTAACAACTGCTTTCCAAGAACTGAACACCAATGGAGACAGCATATTTACAACAACAAGCAAGATAAAATCACAGAGAATTGTAAGTATTCAAGCATTGTACTAAAGACGTTCTATCAGTTCTCTGCTTGTCTTTCAAACTTGATGCCATTGATGTAAAACCCAGGCCTGGAAAAAAATATTTTTTTTTGAACATTGTCTTAATAAATTGCCTCAAGCACCAAATGTTATCTGTACACTATATACAGTATGCCCAACAGTTCATTTAAAATTTTTTTTTTTCCCCAAAATGCCTCTGGGATATTTAGGATGCCTCCAACTGCCAGTTGCACGGTTGTGCTGTCGTGCACTTTTTCCCTGGTAAAGCCAATTTTCAGATGGATTTTTATATATCATTATTAACTCACAGAACATATAGTTATTGTTTATTTAAGTATACAGTTGAGTTAATTTAAGCTAGACACAATAACGACACGACGACATGATAAAAATGCGCTCTGTGTTGAAGAATATAAACTAAATCTTTATCATGTCTAGAGTATATGTAGCTTTAGAATCTTTAATTGTCTTTCTGTATTTTCATTTCAGTTCTCATCATGATGATGATATATTTATGTCATTTTTATTTATAATTTTATTCTATTACTGGTTGATTCATGTGTCCAGCACTTTGGCTGCCAGGGATATTTATCACTGATTGGTTCAAGTGTTTAACACTTTGGCTGCCAGGGACATTTATCATTGGTTGCTTCATGTGTTTAACACTTTGGGTGCCAGGGACGCGAGTTCATCTCCGACAGGGTTTACTCAGGGTGTCTAAACATACCGTTATTGTATTGCACGAAAAATCAACTGGCAGAACGTAAGCTCTCAACCTGGAAGTTCAGGAAGAACCCTTAATTAATGATCTAAAAATAAATACTGTATGTTTGTTCATGTTTTATTACAGTTGTTTGGAATGAATTTCATTGTGGTGGTGCCCTTTATGCATTGGAAAAATGGCTTGCCAGTCAATCTGTTAATCTTCATTTTGTTTTTGTTTTTTCTTAAATTTAGAATTGTCAAACTGCAGAATGTGTAACACTTACATGCAATGTAGACGTGATGCCGATCGATGCTTACCTCATTGTGCGAATCTATGCCCGTATATGGGAACATTCCTTCATCACAGTAAGTTTCCCCACGCCTATGTTTTTACTTAATAATGATATTATATGATAATGATAATGGTCAACTTTATAGAGTGCATATTATCGAGACATGTATGTGCTGAAAAAAATGGACCAAGAAAGTAATACTTAACCTAACCCTAAAACATGCTCATCCTCTGCTCCTTAAACTAAGCATGGTTGGCCGTTGCCTCCGAGGAACTCATCCACCCTTTATTCAGCTACACATCAGTTTATTCATTCCCCATCCATGTTTATGGCCTGCAGCAGTTCTTGCAATATTCTAGGAATTCAATTCAGTGTCATTTTTAACTATCTTTTCTTTTAAGTTCAATCATTCAAATAGCAGTATCTTTCTAAAATGATCTCATATCTGCTCATATATTTTTTTCTGTTGTCTTTTTATTCATTATTTATTCATAACTGCTTTTAGTAACATTACCTTAATTTACAAAAAAAAAAGACAAATATGGAAAAAAAATCAATCATGTCATTCATTTGAGGCATGTCATGGCAAAATGATTAAGTTGTCACACAGGCCAGTATTAAGTAAATGAGCTATAAAATATGGGATTTAAAAAAATTGCCTAAAAATCCAAATTTGTTTTTCACTATAGATCAACAGTTTAATTATTAATTATGTCCCAAAGTATTGGTTCTGGAATTGTTTATTTACGTTATTTTTCATAGTTCATTCTATTAAACAATGTATGCACAAATGACTTTGAAAGGCAATATACTCAAAATCATGTTTATCTTGACTCTAAGAGTACTGTACTTTCACTTTCCAATTACTTAGGCTTGAAATGTCCAATTTGAATGAATGACCCCTCATTTTAAAGATCACATACTCAGGTATCTGAAAATACCAATAACTTGAATTTCAATTTTCGCTACAACTTATCCATTTTGCCACAACTTGCCTCATTTCGCCAAATGTAAAAACAAAAGGGTTTATGTGGTAGGATTGCCCAAATTCAAGAAGACTTACCATCAAGAGGCTCTCCTCATATCCCAATAAAAATACAAAACTGCTTTATAATGTTTTGAAATTATATGAAATATTAAAACACTAAAAGAAAAAATAAAGAGAAGAGCTGGACATATCTAATAAAGGGAAAGTTTCAGCAGGGTGAGTGGCATGTATTTAAAGAGAGGGCTGGGATCTGGACATATCTGCAAAAGAGTTTGTCTCCCCTCCTAAGGCTTCCCCTACTTTAAACTTACCTCATTTCTCGAGCTAGTGGCTCCTTTGCTATCTCATACTCCTCACCCCTATCATGTCAATACTTCTAAATATGGCACTGCAGCAGGGGTCTGTGAGAGAGGAATGATATAATATTTCATAACATATACAATAATTTATCTTGTGTTAGAGATATTTTTTATTTTTCAAATTTATCTTTGTTTTTTTAGTTGAATCTTGGTTTAGCTGAGATCTTGACGACTGCAGAGATATCAGTGAATGATCCCCTAAACCAGCATATTGAACCAGTTAATCAAAAGCCAAATAAAGCAATAGTAAGTATAGCCTATATCCTATATATATATATATATATATATATACATACATATATATATAATACTAACTCAGATACCACTAAACTTTCTTAGAATGTTCTGTTTACATCAGGATTTTGACAAAGACTTCAGGAATAGCCGAAATATTCGTTTCAATAAATTTTAGTGTTTCTAAAGTCAACATTTTGCATATATTTTAAATCTATGTATAATTGTATTGTCATCATTATGTAAAGAATTTAGGAGTGGTATTAATAATACATCTGGTAATTGGCAATGTTTCATTAAAAGCTAATTGTACTAACTTTATGAATTCTTGTTTGTATTGGTCATGTTTGTTATACAGCTTAACACTGATAGTGTTTCTTTCATCTTTCAATTACACTTGTCTTTTAGGTGAGCACAACTGTGTACACGGAAGAGGCTGTCAGTGGTGATGCCAAAGTGCCGTTCTGGATTATAGTCAGTAGCATACTGGTTGGCATCATCAGTCTCATTCTTATTGTCTTTATTTTAAGAAAGGTGAGTTTTAAGCATAAGCACATTCTCCCTCCCCCACCCAACATTGTGGTTCTTCAAATCAGTACATACACACCTATACCCAATTCACATGTTACACATGTCTCCTTCTAGGGAAATTATAGCATGCATCTCCAGTGAACAAGAACAGTAAATATATTCCTACCAATGCTTTGCCCTTTCTTTTATTTCTTGTTTTGTTTTTGCTGTGAAGAACAAATTTTCTCATCCATTTTGAGTTCATCTCTTCTTGACCTTTATCGATTTTTGTGTATTTAATTACGATTTAAAATAGTGTGACAAAATTTTAATCCGATGCAATTTGTAAATGTTATCAAATCTATTTCCATGTTAATGAACCTTTTTTCATTCATTTATATTTGCTCATATTTATTCCTAATTTTTAATTAATTTAAATTGAATGTGTACATAATTTTTGATGTTAATTAATTAAATTGTAATTTTGACAATTGTAATTCAATTTGTAAATATAATTTTCTTCCAATAATCTTGAACTTGAAACCATAATCAGGCGCAGTCAACATAATTTGTATTTGCTCTCACAACCCAATTTACAAACCCTGAAGGTTATACAAAATTGTGAAATTTAAATTGTTCCTTTATTTATCATTATTTCTTTTTTTTTTTCATGTTTATCCTCCCCAGGTCGGATTCTTCCATAGGAAGCATAAAGAGGAGCTTGATCAGTTGATAGAGGATGATAAATGCGAGATGGAAGGCCTTACGTCACGTCAAGCCATTGAAGAAATCTGGTCGAACGGCTTCCATGAATCCGATGTATTTTCATAAAGAATCTAGTCAGCTGACATCGTTTTGAGCATCATCTTGGAGGTCCCCTTTAAGTCAGAATCAAAACACTGGGAAATAAATACATTGACTTACAGTATTATAATGAGAAAATACAAGGGTGTATACCACTTGGCCTCATAGCTGCGTTGGTAGTGTATCCAAACGGAAATCAGAAGATCCTATGTTCCAAATATTTATTAGTATACTAGTATTATAATTGCCAACTAGCTCAGTTTAGCTTAGTTAATGCAGTTACAGAACAGTTTTCCAAAAGCTTCTGGTTTGCTTCCTGCATCGCCCACTATTGTCTTGTTTTCACAGGGGTGGTGTTAATGAGCTGTTGAATTTTTGTATTAATTAAACCAACATTACCAAGACTAATGAGATGGAACTTGGATCTGAGTTAAGGTACAAACAAATAGGAAAATTTTGAGGGTATTTTTTATTTCTATTTAAATTTTTCGAACTTAACACAAAAACAAAACAAATGATACAAAATATGCATAGATTAAAAAAAAACAAAAAACACTTCCTTCAGTGGTAAACAGCAAATACACGAAACATATATTTTTATACTATGTCTGTAAGGGGATCTCCAAGTTTGTTACTTATGTCTTCTGATAATTTAGAACATAATGATATTTGAATTATTTTTGTCCAAATTGTATAAAATGTAATATTTACTAAGGTATAAAACATTATAAAAAGTTAAGTCCAACAAAGTAATTTGACATGCTTCAATATATTTCTGATACAGTATCTTTAAACACTGAAAACCACGCTCATTATTCTTTCGTTATTTCTGTCTTTCACTTTCCAGGTTTTTGAAACCGTATGTCGTAAAAGCATAAAAATATGATAGTTTAAGTAAAAAAATTAAATACCGATGATTTAGGCCTGAAATATAGACATGGAAGGTCCCAAATTATCGTCTCAAGTTTTAAGGACCACCCTCACAAAATATAGTTACTAAGGTTAATAAATTGTGATTCAAGGTAGGATGTCTAAGACCTAGACATTGTTCAGTTTCCTTTACAGTCCTTATAAAGGAAGGTTCAGTAGAATTTTTGTGAATCAAATATCCATTTATGCCATTTGGTGAAGATGCTTGCCTTCAGAATTGTAGTTACAAATCCTGTAACACCATGATTCTTTTATTAGAGTAAATTTAATAGAGATTATTTTAAAAGAGTATAGAAAAGAGTGATTCACCCAAATATTTAGTTATAGGAGGATGCCAGCTTTCATCTGTCTTCTTAACTATTCAGTAAAACATAGCCTAGTTTGTTTATCTGCTTTTTCGTACAATACAATTTATTTATAGAGGGCAATAGTTATATTGGGGATGTTGTTTTTTGAAAAGAATACATTAAGATTTACACAGGAGCACTTCCTGTAGACCATCAGAGCACGTGGGTGAAGCTTCATGGCAACAAAGGTGACTTCAAATGCGTAACTAGGGGTGTGATGTACTTTCAAACAGGACTGTGTTTATGTTCATTTCTATGCTCTTTAATAAATATAAGAGTATATTATAGAGCATCGTTCCATTCTGGTAATTGGCAAGTGTGCTTATTTTTAGATATGAAGGAAATAAAAAGAATTTTATAAAAGAAATTATAAATATAAGGAAATAAAATGAATTTTAAAATATTATAAATGTATACCAAATTCTTCAGACAATCACAGGATAAGTATGAATGTTTTGTATTTATTTTGTTTTGCTTTGCTGCTTTTGCATTGCTGCTTTTGCAATGAAATAAGTTAAATGCTCAATTCTGTACCATCATGATATGTGGAGCTGGTCCTGCCAATCTTCTGTGTCATTTCTTTACTACCATTTACAGTACATGTAAACCTATCTCACCTAGCTCTAGTATTCTGTACTGTAACAATAACTAAATGTACATTGAATTGTTAATACTGCAAAATGGATTTGTGTTTGCCACTGACTTATCGTAAATAATTTACTAAGAAAATGTATCTATAACAGTAGCAACTTGTGCTGGCCCACAACATATTTTTTACAATTTTTTTAATAGAAAAAATATAAAATTTTACAGGAATAAATGTGACATGTACAAAATTCATTTTTTAAAAACTTGTAAATAAGTTCATGTTTTATATGTTTGGTGTTTGCTCTGTATGCTAAGTGATAAGTATGTAATTAATGTTTAAAGGTTGTTTAAGGAATGTATTACTGTTAATGCAGCTATCAGAGACTGACCAAATAAATTTAGACATTTTATCTTAAAATTTATCATTTTCTTGATATTTGTTGCACCGTATTTAAATTATATTCGTTTTCTCGATCTTAAAGCATGTATTAAATTATTAAATATATTTGTTCCATAGACGGTTAATAATTAAAATAAAACATTTAAAGTAATAAGACACAAAAACGTAGGTAGGCACAGACAGGATACAAACCTAAGTTCATTCAGCTATCAAAACAGATAATTCCACTGGATCTACTGCTTGCAATAGACTCGCTGCACTATGGAAACACGTTTACTCCCCTCTATCACAAGACGGTCTGGTACTTACTAAATCAATGAACATTTTTCTTGCACTTCTACCAATTTTATTTATGCTATATTATGCACCGAATACATTATATATCATCTACAGTCAATGCCTGCGACTCAAACGAATCTGCTCATGTCCATCCGACACATATCTCTTCTCACTGGCAAGTTCATGTCAAGTAATAAAAACCCAGATTAAAAAAGCTAGTGATCTCGTATATAGATGTAAATATAATAATGATCGGCTACCTATGGTTCGACTATTATAGCACCAACATCCTGCAACTGTCTAAGAAATTAAGAGACTTCCTCTCCCTCTAAGAAGACCCATCGATAAAAGAATTATATTTACAGCACGTAGGCAACCCGGAACTAATTTAAAGTCCACTTTAACCTCATCTAAACTCCCCTTCACTAAACCGATACATGGCAACACACAATGTAACAACTCTAGATGCCAATTATGCGACATCATCAATACTGACAGCTCATTCACTCCACCAGGGACACAATAACAATCCGGCCACCAGTACTGAATTGTACAACTGGCCCATCCTCAGCAACAAGGGAAACTATGTTGGCGAAACTGGTCTCACTTTCAGGTCTAGAATGAACAACCACAAATTATCTATAAGACACAAACTCAACTGCTCAGTAAGTGCATATTTTAATTCACCTAATCACACCATCAGTGACTTTAAGGCTATAATAAGAGGTTGCAATTTTAAATCCACACAAGAACGACGTAACGTAGAAATGAAATGGATACTGTAATCCGGTTAAGATCTCACATAAAGGGACTAAATAACGACTTAGGCTCTACATTTGATTATGCCTTCATACGCAATAATTCACTATGAATACAGTATCTAACAATATATTCTATATATTATCTCTACTTATGTACATTTTATTATATTCATTGATTTCCAAACTATATTTAATAGATATGATATCATGCGTTATATTATATTATTTAAACTCATCCTTTACATCTCTACAATTTATTTTCTATTCCACAATTGTTTTAATGGC